TTCACCTAAACTCCTTGGTCTCCTCCTGTTTCTTCCACACCCCGTCAGCCAGGCCAGTCATCCTTTGTGGTATCTCTTGCATCTTTCGTGATGTCTCTTCCATCTGTTTCATCTTTTTATACCCAGTCCTTTCATCCCAGGGCAGATCTTCATCTGAGCATTTATTCATGTCTTCAAAAGTAACTGTTGCATAGCTTTTGAGTCCCAAGCGCTGTCAGAGAAGCCAATCAGAGTTTCGGGTCACTCTAGCTGCTGCAGGGGAATAGGCTGGGGAATGGCAGGAGAGGAGGTGGGGGCATCGGCTGGGAGGCTGGTGCAGTTGCACCCCTGAGAGGCAATGATGCCTCTTGGTCAGGTGGTCGCCGTGGAGATGGGGAGAAGTGGAAAGGCTTGGTTATGAGTGCAGGCTCCTGAAAGGGTCTCCTGATATTCTGTATCCCCCAGGAAGCCTCCCCTGCCGCTCTGGTGCCTAAGATCATCACTCTCCTTTGAGTCCACAGTGCCTCCGTTGGCCCTTTGCCTGTGTAACCAAATACACCCTTTCTCTAAGCAGTGATCTTTGAGCTTTTTACAAAAGGGGCCTCTTGAAAACATGAAGAAAGCTGACACACCTTTTCTCCAGGAGAGTGCTTCTTTCCGTAAAAGTTTACATACAATTACAGGGTGTTTAACCATGGGGTCCCTGTTCCCTGGGCTAAGGACTCTATTACCTCTACAGCTCACAAGCCAACCTCTCCCTTCTTTACATCCTCTTCTCTTGTTGTATTTCAGTGGACACAGAAGATGCTCCAGACATACATTTCCATGATGGCACCCTTACTCCTGATAACTTCCTTTGGAAATGCATGACATTCCCTTGTCCATTTTTGTAAAGTCATGCAAAATTTGGTTTGAAATGTTCTCAAATAATATAAGAATGTGGTTGGCTTAGTGGTTCAATTTGGAGCACTTCTTTGGGCCAAGGGATTGGGGAGGAGGAGCTGTGGTCAGAGTTATGTCTGCTGGCACTGCAGATCAACAAAAGCTTTCAATGTGAACTGCACTGCACAAAGGTCCAAGGGTCATTCCAGAAGAATGCAGCACGAAGTTAAATCATTTTGAGGCTGGAGTGAATTTAGAGAAGACTCATTAACGTTCATGATCATGTTATGACAGGTCAATACCACTTTAAATCGTTCCAAATGGTCCAACATGTGGCTTGAAAAATAACAGAGAAAGCAGTTGTAAGGATGATTGCATAGCGCTCCATTCCTGTTACTTTTGCTTCTAAAGCCAACGTGGGGTCCACATGACTGTGAGACAAAGGCGGTTGCTTTGGTGTTGAAAGCACCTTTGCAGGACTGCTTTCAGCTTGCAGAGAATGTCCTCCTGGCACCCGCACTGTCTCCTGTTAGAGTGCTTTCCACAGAGCGTTCCTTAACTGCAATGCACAACAATGTTGGATTTAAAACCGAGGACTCAGAAGAAAGACTATTGTTTTACCTGTTGAATTTTGAGAGCTCTGTATATATTCTAGGTGCTAATCCTTTGTCAGATAGATAGGTTATTATCTCCCCATCTGTAGTTTTTATTTTCATCCTCTTCACTGGGTCTTTCACAGAGCAAGTTTTTTGATTTTGATGAGGCCCAATTTATATTTTTTTCCTTTTATGGATGCTGTTTTTGGTGTCCAGTCTAAGACCTCTTTGCCTAGCTCCAGATTCTGAAAATATTTTTCCTACGTTTTAATCTCAAGGATTCAGAGTTTTATGGTTAAGTCCATGACCCATTTTGAGCTAATACTTGTATAAGGTCTGAAGTTTACCTAGAGGTTTGTTTCCTTGCCTGTGAATGAAAGACTAATTTTTAGAACCTCGTATTTGAATGTATTTATTGTGCTTCTCTTTTTTTTTTTTTTTTTTGGTACAGACTGGGTCTCACTGTGTTGCCCAGGCTGGGTGCCAACTCCTGGCCTCAAGTGATCCTCCTGCCCCAGCCTCCCAAAGTGCTGTGATTACAGGTGCGAGCTACTGAGCAGGACAACTGTGCTTTTGTGTATTCTCCTCCACTAGCCCTAAATGGAAGATGAACATCCCAGACGGCTCTGTTTTCTTCTGTCTTTCAGCATCTCAGTGTGGAGGGGCTCCAGATGGATCCAAATAAGGAACTGAAAATGTTCATATTTTAAACATTAAACTGTTTCACCAAGTTTCTTGATGAAAAGCTCAAACACATACAAGATTACTAATCACAGATATTTTATTTAAAAATGGTCTTGTGTACAATTACAGAAATCTACCATGACAATCCTGCTCTTTCTCACTCCACTAGCCCTGCAATAAGTTGGAAATTCACATGGAAAGACTGATTCATTGCGTAATTCAACCGAAACATTCAGCAGTTCTCATGACTTTTTTTGCGCTTATAATACATTTTGTCATATTTATGTTAATTTGTAACTGTCTAATGGACTTGCAAAACTTTTAGCTCTCTACCTGTGCAATATTTAGAAAATAACCTATTTTCCATTTAAAGAGGTTAGTTGAAATAGTCAGATAATCCTATCAATTTTTAAATGTGAGATATTTTCCAAGTTTTCCAATTATGCATACAGAACTGGCAATTGATGAGTGGTCTTATCAAAATACTCAAAGAACAATCACGCAGCTGGGCCCGCTGAGGGCTGGGATAAGCCAGCATCCAGACAAGTTACACAGACCACTTTCCTCTCTCTCCTCCCTTGCCCTCTAGCCATGAGGGATTACAATGCCTTTTGCTATAGGTCAAAATGCCAATTCTCACAAAACTATTTGAATAACTGGTCTCAGGAATGGTTTGAAGTACTCTAGGGTTCATTCCAGAGTAAGAAAGACACTTTTTTCTTTTTCTTCTTCTTTTTTGAGATGGAGTTTCAATCCGTCCCCAGGCTGGAGTTCAGTGGCACGATCTCAGCTCACTGCAGCCGCTGCCTCCTGGGTTCAAGTAACTCTCCTGCCTCAGCATCCCCAGTAGCTGGGACTACAGGCACGTACTGCCATACCCAGCTAATTTTTGTATTTTTTAGTAGAGACGGGGTTTCACCACGTTGGCCAGAATGGTCTTGGTCTCCTGACCTCGTGATCCTCCTACTTCAGCCTCCCAAAGCAGAGTAAGACTTTTAAAAGTCTCTGGAAAAGATAAATCTGATCTCTAAGAAGTGTGGCAGCATAACTTAAATATATCAATTTTTACTAGAGTTGACCATTTCTTCTTTTAATAATCACATTGTCACCATGCAGATCTACATTTATCATGAACAATTTCATTTCTGATTCTGAAGGCTTTCCCCCTTCATTTGCAAGCATTTCATAAATGCTGATGTTCTCAAACTTTGCTTTTTGTTCAAAACTGTTCATCGTTAAGTGACTCTTTAATAGCTAGTTAATAAAATACTTTCACCCAACAAAGACCAGATTGTGTAGCTGGTAATTACAGATTTATATGGAACAAGCTTCACTAACAGCGAATTTTTAATTTGCAAGTATAAAACTCCCTCGTGCATATTTAGAGGAAGAGATTCTTAGAATAAAATTGGAATTCTTCCAATTCTCTTTATTCTTAGGCACTTCTTCAAAATTATCATGTAGAATAAGAGTATGATTTTAAAAATTAACTGTATTCAAGGGGCTTTTATTTTTTTCCCGAACAAGCTAAAACTTCCGGGGTATAGGCAGAAGAATAGGGCACTAGGTGGTCTCCCAGATAGGGTTCCCTGTAAGCACTCAGATGGAGATGCATGTAGGTGGTCTACTGGGAACACCATGCAGAAGGAAGGGAGGGAGGGAAGCAGCCCTAGGCGGAGGGAGAAGCTAAGTTGTGATGCAATTGCAAGAGAGCTGTCAGCTGATCCAGCAGGGAACAACCGAAGCTGGGAGAATCCTTGGAGTTGTCCAGGCAAGGCGAGGGGACTGGGCTTTGGTACTATCACGTGAGTATCCTCGGACTGCTGGGCCAAATGGTATTTCTGGTTCTAGGTCCTTGAGGAATCGCCACACTGTCTTCCACAATGGTTGAACTAATTTACGCTCCCACCAGCAGTGTAAAGTGTTCCTATTTCTCCACAGCCTAGCCAGCATCTGTTATTTCCAGACTTTTAAATAATCACCATTCTAACTGGCATGAGACAGTATCTCCTTGTGGTTTCCATTTTCATTTCTCTAATGACCAGTAATGGTGAGTTTTTTTTTCCATGTTTGTTGGCTGCATAAATGTCTTTAAGGATTCACTCTTCAGAGCTGATTCCGATTGGATTTTGGTCAGCTGTGAAGTAGTATCTGACTGCAACATGCTCTACTTCAAACATAGTCATGTTTTAGGATGAGGCCATCTTCAAGCCTGAGATCTGTTTCCCATAGAAAGAGTTTATGCTGAGAGCACATGGGCCCCGAGAGTGCACCTCTTCTTCAGGCTTCCCCATGAAGACCCCCCAGTTATTGGCAAGCCCACCCGACCTCTGCTTCCAATCCCACCACATGAGGGAAGGAGGGGCCCAATGTGACACTGTGAACTCTTGATTTCCTTTGGTAACAAATACTTCTGTAAAAATACATCCAGATGTCAATGCTAAATGATAAATTTGAATGAACACATTTTGGTTAAATTAGTATGATTATTTTGACTTTCCAGTGTTTACTTGGTTTGTTAAGCATTTTTACTTCTCTCTAACCTTGAGGAAAGACAAGTGGGATAATTTATTTTGAGGAAGAAAAAAATCAAAGCAATCACATATGTGAATAAACGTGTGGTAGTATCTGAATTGTTGAAGCCATGACTGATCCTGATTTATAAGTTATAGAAAATGTGGCAATGGATTGTTGATCAATATTTGAAAATTGAAAACCTGTTGGTAGATAACACGGTTTCTCTAGGAAACAAATGGCTGCAAACCCAACAGATCTGGAAATGTCTCATTGACTCAAAGCAAAAAAGTCACTAGAAAGAAAATGAAATCAGATTTCTAAAATTCAATACAAATATTTTACCTTATTTTCTTCCTTTGTTCCCTTCTTTTGCTTTTTGGCTTTCTTAGGTTGTTTTTCCTTTTTCTTCTTTTTCTTCTTTTCATTTTTTTCTTCTTCTTCTTGCTTTGCAATGATATCCTCAATAACCTAGTGAAAACCAAAACAATCATAGCATTTTCACAGGTCCTTATCAGGAGGAGGACTGTTTTTCCTGTCTGGAAGGAAGTATTCGTGCTGGTCAGTATCACCTCTCTGCCTGGCCCTGGACCCTGCAGGCTGACCCCTTTTGGAGCATGGCAGGGCTCCTGCCGCCATCTACCCTTAGCTGGACTCATAAGTGGGGGGCAGCAGCCTCTGTAGATGGAGAGAGAGTCTGGACACTTCTGAGCCCAGTTTCTTCCCTAATTCCACCCACTCCAGCTCTTGGAGGTTCCACAAACTCTAGGGGAGGTTACAGCTTTCTCCATGTCTCAACAACCCCTGGGTGTGCCAGCCCTGCCCACAACTCGTCGAAATCCAGGGGGAGGATGCCACTGTTTCCTGCCAGGGTCCGATGGCAACAGCCATTCTTGTAATAACTTCCGTTTTCATGAGTTGGTTTATTTCACCAGTGATTTAATTTACATCCCCTACAGTGACAAAAGATCTGTTTTCCTCCTAAATCGTAAAATATTTGTTAAAAAGTACCTAGTTCACATAGGATTAGCACTACTGGAGAATTATTGTAGATTTGTTATAAACCATATAATTCAGTTCAATACAACAGTGTTCACTGAGCACTCACTCACTGCCATAGAGAGCTGTGAATTCCAGGAGATAAAAAGGTGACAATGACAGGACTCACCTTCCTGTTTGGCCCCCGTGGGCGGGGGATCTGTTCATCACTCATCATGTGGCCAAGACAAGTTGCATAAGCTCTCTGAGACTCAGTTTCCTCAGCTCTAAAATGGAGCCAGCATCTCCGTACACGGCACTTAGGATCTGCGAGACATGGTTCTGAGAGCCTCTCACAGACAGACTCCTTTGCTGCTACACCAGCCTTACGGGGTTTGCTGTTCTTGTCCTATTTTATGGATGAGGGAACTGGGATACTCAGAGTGCAGTATCCCGGCAGGGACACACAGCTGGTGAGTAGCTGAGCTGGGATTCTGCAGGCACTAACCAGGACGAATTTCATAATGTAGAGAGAAAGGAGGCAAGACGCAGAACACACATCAACTTACTCCATCGTGCAAAATGTGCAGAGTGAAACCAACAATCCATACTCCGGTCTCAGGTACATACACATGTGGTCAAAGTGCAAAGGAATGTAACGGAGTGACATGCTCCAAATTTAAGTACAGCCATTGCCTCTGAAAACGGAGCAATTAAAACAATTGGGGATGAGGAGACAGGGACTATATCGTTTTACCCTAGTGTGGAGTAAGGTGAGAGGTGAAGCGTGTGCTGTGCACATATTTGACAATGCAAAAATGATCTTTTCCCAGCCTGTGCAATGTGGCAAAACCCCATGTCTACAAAACATACAAAAAATTAGCCAGGTGTGGTGGTGCACATCTGTAGTCCCAGCCATGTGGGAGGCTGAGGTGTGAGGATTGCCTGAGCCTGGGAAGTAGAGGCTGCAGTGAGCTATGATCCAGCCACTGCACTCCAGCCTGGGTGACAGAGTGAGATCCTGCCTCAAAAAATGAAGCAACACAGAACAAACAAACAAACAGAGGCTCACCATTGCTCACAGAATCAAGGTGTGGCTGCCTAGGTCTTCATTGTACTGGAGCACTTGGAACACAGACCTTGTCTGAACGTTAGAAACTGCAAAACTTTCAGAAATGTAAAGGCTTAAAAAAAAGTCTCATATGTAAAATATGAGCAACTTTAAAAAGGATGACATCCTTATTTGTAAAGTATACATTTCACTGTGGCCTTATCAGGTAAGCCTTTTAAAGTCTTATCAATTAAATGGTTTATTTCATCTCTCTCCTTTTATAGTTTATTAGTTTAAATTTTTGAGTATCGTATTTTCGTGGTTCATAATTCAAAGATTATGAAAGACTAGCTATACATACATACAGTGAAAAGTTTCCTCCCCATACTATTAACTAGCCAAGAAGATCCACTTTCTCTTTTTATTTTTTATTAAGACACAGTTGACAAATTTAATATATTTACAGTATACAACATGATGTTTTGATATACGTACACATTGTGGAATGATTAAATCAAGCTAATTAACATGTCCATCACCTTACATACTTAGCATTTTTTTGTGTGTGATGAGAACATTTAACAATCTATTTTCTTAGCAATTAAAAAAATCTATGATGCAGTATTGTTAATTATAGTCACCATGCTGGACAATACATGTTCAGAACTTTTTCCTCTCCTGCCTATTGGAAACTCTGTACCCTTTGACCAACATCCCTGATCTTCCCCTCCCATCCCTGGTAATCACTATTCTACTCTCTGCTTCCATAAGTTAATGAGATCATGCAGTATTTGTCTTTCTGTGGTTGGCTTACTTCACTTAGCATAATGTCCTCGAGGTTCATGCGTGCTATCACAGATGACAAAAATTTCCTTCTTTTTTAAAGCTGAATAGTGTTCCATTGGGTATATATAATACATTATGTTTATCCATTCATCCACTGAAGAACACTGAGGTTGCTTCCATATCTTGGCTATTGTAAGCGATGCTGCAGTGAACATGGGCATGCAGACATCTCCTTGAAGCACTGATTTCAATTCCTTTGGATACATACTCAGTAGTGGGATTGCTGGATCATATGGTAGTTCTATTTTTCATTTTTTGAGGAACTTCCACACTGTTTTAACATAATGGCAGTGTTAATTGACATTCCCACCAATAGCATACAAGGGTCCCCTTTTCTTACATTCTTGCCAACACTTGTTATCTTTTGTCTTTTTGAGAGCAGCCATCCTAACAAGTGTGAGGTAATATCTTATTGTTTAATTTGCGTAGGTCTGTGGCGTTGAGCATTTTTCTGTATACATGTTGACCATTTGTATGTCTTCTTTTGAGAAATGTCTATTCATGTCCTTTGCCCAATTTAAATTAGGTTGCTTTCTTGCTATATCATTGTTTAAATTCTTTATATATTTTGGATATTAGTGTCTTATCAAATGTATGGTTTGCAAATATTTTCTCCCAATTCATAGGCTGACTCTTTTGTTTTCTTGCTGTGCCGAAGCTTTTTAGTTTGGTGCAATCTCATTTACCTATTTTTACTTTTGTTGCCTGTGCCCTTGGGGTCATATCCGGAAAAATCACTGCCCAGACCGATGTCATGGAGCTTTCCCCTGTGTTTTCTTTCTTTTTATTTTCCTGGAGTCACACTAAAATTTGTACCAATAACTTTGTTTTCTTACAGTAGTTTTATAGTTTTTGGTCTTTTGTTCATGGCTTTCATTCATTTTGAGTTGATTTTTGTATATGGTGTGAAATAAGGGTTCGATTTCCTTGTTTTGCATGTGAATATCCAGTTTTCTCACACCATTTATCAGAGACTTATCCCTCTTCCATTGTGTGTCCTTGACACCTTTGTTGAAAATCCGTTTGCTGTAGTGTGTGGGTTTATTTTTGGGTTCTCTGTTCTGTTCCATTGATCTATATGTCTGTTTTTATTCTAGTATCATGCTGTTTTGCTTTCTGTAGCTTTGTAATATATTTGGAAATCAGGAAGTGTGATGTCTCTAGCTTTGTTCTTTTAGCCCCAGATTTCACTGGATATTTGAGATGTTTTGTGGCTCCATATAAATTTTACAATTACTTTTTCTATTTCTGTGAAAAAGGATCACTGAAATTTTGATAGTGATTACACTGAATCTAGAGATCACTTTGGGTAATATGCACATTTTTACAACATTAATTCTTCCAATTCATGAGTACAGGATATCTTTCTATTTACTTGTGTCCTCTTAAAATTCTTCCACCCATATTTTGCAGGTTTCAATATGCAAATCCTTCACCACCTTGATTATATTTATACCTACCTTTTTAAAATGTTACTATAAATGGGATAGTTTTCTTGAGTTCTTTTTTTGGAGGGTTTATTGTTAGTCTATACAAATGCTACTGATCTTTTGTTTGTTGATTTTGTATTTTGCAACTTTACTAAGTTTGTCAGTTCTAATAGCATTTTTAGTGGAGTCTCTGGGGTTTTCTTTTTAAATTTTTTAAAAATTTAATACAGACAGTGTCTCACTATGTTTCCCAGGCTATTCTTGAAAACCTGTGCTAAAGTAATCCTCCCACCTCAGCCTCCCAAAGTGCTGGGATTACAGGCGTGAGCCACCAAGCCTGGCCTCTGGGTTTTTCTATATGTGAGATCAGGCTGTCAGAAAACAGACAATTTCACTTCTTCTCTTCCTATTTGATTGCCTTCTATTTCTTATTCTTGCCTAATTGCTCTGGCTAGCACTTCTGAACTAGGTTGAATAAAAGTGGCAAGAGTGGGCATCCTTATCTTGTTCCAGATCTTAGAGGGAAAATCCAGATTTTCACTATTGAGGATGACGTTAGCCGTAGGCTTTTCATACACAGTCTTTATTATGCTGAGTAAGTTCTTCTCTGCATAATTTGTTGAGTTTTTATCATTAAAGTGTCCTGAATATTGTCAAATGCCTTTTTTGCATCTATTAAAATGATCATATGATTTTTATCCCTCATTATGTTAATGTGGTGTATTACACTGCCTGATTTGGATAGGTTGAACCACTGTTGTGTCCCAAGGATAAATCCTGCTTGATCATGGTCAATGATCCTTTTAATGTGCTCTTGAATTTGGTCTGCTAGTATTTTGTTGAGGATTTCTGCACCTATGCTCATCATCAATATTGGCTTATAATTTTCTTTTATTTCAATGTCTTGTCTGGCTTTGGTATCAGGTTTGTGCTGGCCTCATAAATGAATTTGGAAGTATTTCTTTCTCTTCGATTTTTGGGAAAAATTTAAGAAGCATTGGTATTAGTTCTTTACATGTTTGGTAGAATTCGCACAAGAGGCCATCTGTTCCTGGGCTTTTTGTGGGAAGGATTTTGATTACAGATTCCATTTCTCCACTCATTATGATTTTCTATTTTTTCGTGATTAGTCCCATTGTATGTTTATAGGAACTTATCCATTTCTT